GGGGGGTGTCAGTGGATAAAAAGATGAATGTTAGAGTTAATCCAGAGCAGAGAAATGAGTCATCTTTGCAGAGAAATCAAGGGTTGGGTTTCAATGCAGAATCAAGAGATTCCGCTTGGCACTCTTGTTCAAGAAAACGGCATCATCTAGGGAAGGATGTTGGCAAAGAGAAAACAAAGGGCCCAAAAGTAGATACCTCTCTACGGAGAAGTCCGTGTTTATGCTTAAAACAAATAACTCATCATTTATCTACACAGTATCATATACAAAAAAGGCAAAGCCTCAGAAACCTGTTCTCCCCTTTAATACTTTTACTGTAATTCTTCAATGTTTGTGGTCACTAGATTTCAGAGCATAATTCTCTCATAGATTTTACACAGACCTACAATTTTTTCTTCTTTATCGTTAAAAGTTAACATATTCACTGATTTTCAAACGCATTCCCTGCAGCCGCAACACTTACATGTCTTGGCTCTCTCCTCCTAATATCTATACTCAGACCCTTTTGAAACAGTTAAACTATGACTTAACAATCCCTTTTTTTTCCTACTAAAAATGCTCAGGACCACTTTTATTTGTGTCATACTGTTATTTTATTACAACCTTTTGGAGGCAAAAAAAAAAATTCACCTAGAACCAAAAGATACTGGACTCTGATTTAAAGTGAAACCTCAATAAATAACCTCTCCAGAGTAGTATTTAGGACGGCTGACCCAGAGTTCAGTAAAACATGTTCTAATTTACATAATGTTAAACGCCTCAAACTGAAGAAAACATCCAACCGAATTTTCAAATAAAACAAACCCAGAAACATGAGGCGCAAGTTTAACACACACACAAAAGCCCCAGTCCCCACACTGCAGGATACAGCGACGTGAGTATTTCCATGAAACGGCGTTAACAGAAAAATCTGAAAAACGTGACTGGATATTAAGTGATCTCTCCTTTCTTCAATGTTGTGATTAACAGGTCTTTTATTGGTAGTAAACTAGAGCAAACAATCAGAATAGTACATATGCAGTATTCAGTACACACAATAAAAGTTAAAGGAATTCAAAACCTGTATAAAACAAAACGCTGGAGGGAGACCACACAGCTCAGAGACACAGCGGTAACGGGCCTTCTCCGTCCTCTGATTACAGCTTGTGCTCTGTCCCCAACAGAACTCGCCGCGCTGACCAAAACAGACTTTTTAGTACTGCGTGTATTTAAGAAGATTACACACATTTTCGAAGAATCTTGCAATGACAAATAAGTGACCTTTAGCTGGTAAAGCAGACTTAAGGGAGGAAAGCAGGGAAAGGAAATTAACTAGTATTTTGTAACCATTTTTAATAATTTCTCATTTTCCAAACACTGCCTTCGTAACAGAAGTGTTTCACACGTGCACAGTATTAATTACTTTATTATACATGGAAGCCTGCGGGAGGCTGATGACACAGTAAGACTGCAAACAACCAGTGGCACTTTTCTGACGTCAGAAGAGTACCTAAGACTGAAACATCACCAAAAGTACACAAAAAAACTCATCAGCATAAACATCAAAGTACATTAAAAAATATAATCAGAAAAAAAATACAATTGCTAAAAAGTGGTTTAGAGCAGAGCCACTGTCCACCAGTAGCTTCAAATGGCAATTAGCGTTCATAGCAAGGTTTGATGACTTTACACGACCCCGTACAATACTGACTGACGCACCCTTTCAAAACGTACGTTAAACAGGCTGCAACTTCTCAGAGAGGTTCCAATGTTACCCCCAAGTGAGACGCTCTCACCCCTCCCGTTGGCTTTGTCACCAGCTGGAATTACAACCTTCTTACTGGTTGTCTGTAGCTCTGAGCATGGGGGCTTTATGCTACATGGACACCTGCAAGGGCTCTGTTCTTCAAAAGGGGGCGGGGGGATGCTAACCCTACGGTTTAGTATTTGGATGCCAGAAGGCATATGAAACGCACAGCCAATTACCTATTGGAATGTGACTCATTCTAAAGTCGAAACTGTCAAGACAGGGAGCAGAAGGAACAAGCAGGCCCAGGACTCTGCGCGAGAGGACGTGTTAAGAACAAAGACAACAATGAAAGAAAAAACCCGTAAGTGTGGGTGACATGTAGTAAAAGACAGGGAACAGAGTTTTAGGCCATGTATGACAAACGGCACATACCCAGATTTTCCAAGAATGATGTAATTCCAGCTTGGGTTCTAATACTGGCACCAACCAGCCACCTGGGCATCAACACTGTGCCCACCAGCCCCTGACCGGCCTTGTCACAGTTGGGGTAAGGAAAGGGTGCTTTTTTTTCCCTCCTTCTTTTATTAAAGCTATCATTCCAGGCTTTGATCAAAGATCCAAGAATATTTGTTCTTCCAGGCTGGAATGAATGTGGTTTGGAAGTTCAGAGTACATTTAAAAGCTGCAACAAAGTACAGGTGGCCAACAATTCAGAATTTTGGATCAGCCCAGATGGAGACAGCAATCTGAAATGTTTTCGATCCCTTACTTCAATGATAAAACGTGTATCACATCAGCCCAGATAGAGCAACTTGAAATGTTTTCGATCCCTTACCTAAATGATGAAATGCATATACTACCTGTAAATTGGATATTCCATTACAGTGATAACGTACAGAATTCCCATGCGTTATTACACTTTCCTGAGAGTAAAGCAATTAGAATAACCTTAATCCTAACAACAAAGTTTTTTTTTATGTGGTTTTTTTTTTGTTTTTTTTTTTATATGGTTTTTTTTTTTTGCATTTAAAACTTTTGGGCTATTCCCTGACAATCTATACATGTAAATTTGATTGCTAAACATTGTCACTTCGAATGTCAAACTATTTTAATCTATTGATTTTGATTAAAAATCATAATACAAACAGAGCTAAAATCACGCTAACAAAATAAACTAAATATGAAAAGTTGCATTGAAAGGGCATTACATTATTCTTAATAGGATCGCGTAGAAACATTCCAATGGCAGTGTTCTCGAAATAAAACGAAATCACATTAGAAGACCCCCAGCCTGGTCACTCCTGGGCCTTACCTGTAGCTCTGGCTGGTGGGCGTCTTTACCCTCGGACTACATGCTTCACTAACATCGGACATCATATTTGTATACCCTGAGAAATCTGACACCGAAGTCCTTGCTCTGTGGTCCACTTCTCCATTGGAGTTAGTGATAAAGGTCATTGGCACCCTGCTGCCCGACTTGAACTGAGAACCAAACGCCTGTGCGAAGTTCTCAATCTGGTACGTTGTTCTAGGCTCTACGTCTTTCTGAGGATCTATCTGGCTGGCTAACTCCTGAGATGGGATCTGAAAGCTTGTTGAGGACTCTAAGTTTTTCTGCTGTTCCTTCTGGCTAGTCAGTTTCTGAGATGAGGACTGGAAGGCCGAAGAAGTCTCTAAATTCTTCTGAGAATCTATCAGATCATCCAGCTCCTGGGAAGGGGTCAACTGCTGATGTGTGGCATCCAAAGCAGATAAATAAAGACCTGGCTGCGATCCAAACAACATCCCAAAAGGAGGCTTTGGCAACGAAGATGGCAACACTGAGGTAACAGACTGGCCGAAACCACACTCCAGAGGAGATGTAGTGTATATCTGTTTTTCTGGAAATAAAGTGTGGTTGTGGAGAGGTGATGACAGGCTGACAAACTGGAACCCGTGGCCGAGAGCGAACCCTGCGTTCGTGGACTTTTCAAAAGCCTGCTGGAGGTATTTGGAGTATTCTTGCAGCATGCTGGCCTTATCGCTGGAGGGCGTCTGGGCGCCTGGGCTCAAGCTCTCTTCTTGCACCAGCTCTGAGTGCTCTCCTGAGGTGTGCAAATCCACTCGTGGCTCCGTTATGCTGAAGGGATCCTCCTTCTGGCTCTCGGACTTGTTGGAGTACTGATCCAAAATACTCTGCAAAACCTCATCAGGAATTCCAGACTTGTCGTGACAAGACTTAATTTCCGCATTCAGGGCCGAGGAGTCAATAAGGGACAAGGGGGCCTCACTGTCCAAAACTCCGACGCCCGCAGACTGGATGACAGACTGCTGGGAGGCCATGTGTCCCACGCTCACGGAAAAGGCACTGTTGCTGCTGGCAGTCGGTATGTATCTTCTTTTCTTCGAGAACTGCATGGCATCGTCGTAAGTACTGCTCATTTGACCTTGTTTGCCACTTGCGCTCTGGAGGAGGCTAATGGTCTCCACGCCGCTGTTTGACGCAAGGCCAAGCGAGCCACCTGGTTTCCCAGACAAGGACTTCTGTCCCACCATGTCTGGTAACGGTGACACGAAGTTCAGGTAGTTCTTCTCTGTACTCTTTCTGCTTCCCTTCTTAAAGATCAGTTTTGGCACCCTTTTCTGTAGCTCGTCGATACCAGTGCCGATCATGCCTCCGCTGGAAGACGCGGTGGGCATCTCTACCGAGTAACTCTGCAGGGTCATACTGCTCGGAACCTGCGAGTCGCTCGCTTTACCAGTCTTGTGTTCCTTGTTTTCAACTGCGATGCTCTTTGACTTCGCCTTTCTCCTCGAAGAGCTGGTGTTTCCCTGAGACAACACAGCCAGATTCCCCACGCTGTTGTGGCCAGACGCCCCGGGCTCTGCGCCGGGGGCGCCTTTCGCTATGGCTTCGCCACAGGTGCGCCTGTGCTTCAAGAGGCGATCTGTCCTTGAGAAATACTGCTGGCAAGTGTCACACTTGTATGGCTTTTCTCCACTGTGCGTCCTCTTGTGTCTCTCCATATGGTACTTCTGGATGAACTTCATGCTGCACTGGTCGCACCCGAACGGCTTCTCTCGACTGTGGATCTTCTCGTGTCTCTGCAGCAGGTACTTCTGGATGAAGCCCATGCTGCACTGGCTGCACTGGAAGGGCCGCTCCCCGGTGTGGATGAGGACGTGCCTCCGCAGGTGGTAGGAGCTCCGGAAAGCGGCGCTACAGTGATCGCAGATGTGAGGTTTCTGGCTGGGGGAGAGCAGGGCGCCTTCCCCGTCTCCCACCAGCGGCGGTTTGGAAGATGCGCTGGGCTTCCTCTTGGCTTTGATTCCCTGAGATTCTGGCTTTGGCCTCTTCGCCTTCTTGACGCTGGCGTCCGGCTTTGGCTCCTCGGGGCCGCGGGGGTCCTCGGTCGTCCGGCCGCCGCCGCCGCCGCCCAGCAGCACGTCGCGGGGGTGCGGGGCCGGCGGCGGCGGGTGCAGGACGCTCAGG